AGAAGTACGACAGGTTTTATACTACACAGGACGCTACGACTATTCGAGAGTGGCATACGAGTACAAGGGGCTTTGCATTGTTCCTCAAGAAGCTGCCTCACCGAGAGGCACATACCAAGTCCATCGGTAGAGTGACGTCATGCCAAACGCGGAGATGAAGAGCAACATATGGCCACTTCGGACCGGTAGCCGTCGTGAAGGCATGCCGCGAGGTTCGATACCTAATCGGGAAAGACCGGCTACTTCGGTGTGGCGTGGAGCGAAGCGCGCGCTTGGCCGAGCGGCGTCAAGTGGCCCTATTGTTCGCCGGATGCGGAAGATGTTCCGAGATCTATGCACGAGGTGTCGGGACGACCGTGCCGAGCTTCGAGTAAGCGTCGCGCACCGTCGAAGGTGTCAAAGAGCGTCGAAGGCGAAATCGAAGTGTTGGGAGACTGGGTCGAAGTGCCGGGCGGGATGCGAGTGCCGAAAAGAGGTGTATCGGGGCCCAGCGGGGCTCGGCGCCTATCATCTCCTCCCTATTGAAATTTGGACCGCCCTCGGTCCTCCACGTGATGCAAGAAGCGCGATGGTCGTGCACGGATCGAAGCGGAATGGCAACCCACGTCGGTTTCGAACGCCACGTGGCCGGCGCTAAACGCTGGTCGGAAAGGGGTTATAAGCAGGGTAGACTTAGCCTCATTTTCCCCATCCCATCGTTCCTTCGTCGCTACCTCGTCACCCTCTCTTGTATACTCGCTGCTTCTACGATGTCTGCTCGCTCTGCCACCCCTGCGTCGACTTCGCTCGTCAACCGCCGCCTTGCCTCTCTGCTTGTGGTCCTCGAGGCTCCGCCGGCCGCCGACGCCACGCTCGATGTGGTCGAAGAGTGGGCTCAAGACTTGTCGCCTCTTGTCGTAAGTTGCTTGTAATCTGCATAACCCGACTAACCGTTTGTTTTCGAGCAGCTCGCCTATCGCAAGGCTCTGGGCGCCATCCGTGACGAGGAGACGGAGTTGCGCATCGCCGCCGCCGTCAAACAGCTCGCCGAGCGGGCGTCGGAGTCGTGGGTTGAGTGGGCGCGCGGGGACTGGCCTGAGCTCGCGACCGCCATCGATGCCGAGGTCGAACGACGCCTCGAAGAACAGAAGCGCCTCGCCGAGGAGGAAGCACGACGCGTCAAAGAGGCCGCGAAGCGTGCGAAGGCCGCCGAGGACCGTCGCCTCGAAGACGAACGGCGTCGAAAGGATGAAGAGGACCGTCTCAGGCAGGCCGAGGACGAGCGTCGCGCACAAGAGGCCGCCGACGAGGAGTTGGCGAGGATCGCAGCCGCCGAGGGACTTCTCGACAAGGGGAAAGGGCGCGCGATAGTCGACGAGGAGGTCACCGAGTTGTCGGACGACCCTTCGATCGTAAGTGTTCTCTTCTACCGCCCTTCAATTACTAATCTTTCTTTCGTAGAAGACTCCTCGGACGGTCGAACGTCCGTTCGCGATGACAGAGGTCGACATGGCCGCCGCGGTGATTGAGAAGCGCCAGGCCGGACAGAAGGTAAGCTCGACACTTCGTCGAAGCTGTTCGATGCTAACTCCTCGATAGTGTGATCGTTGCGCCGGCTACCGCTCGGCCCCTGTGGAGTGCGTGTGGGCCAAGAACGCTACGACCTGCGATAGGTGCGCGCAGTTCCAACAGGGCTGCTATTTCGACAAAGTGTCTGTCCTGGGCAAGACAAAGAAGACGCGCGGCGGGGGATCTACCACGAAGAAGCGCAGTAAGTCGTTTCTTCTCGTCCTAGGCCTTTGCTGACGACTTCGTAGTTCGGCCGGCCTCTCCTGGGCCTTCGGTCGCGGACGCGAGTGGTTCGAAGAAGCGCCGCGTCGACGAGCCTCCCCGCCCCCTTCTACGACTGCCTCTCGATGGGGCCAGCCGCCTTGGGCTCGAGCAGGACGACCTCGATGCGCTCGACCTCGACGACGAGTCTCGTGGAATCATCCGCGTCATCCGCGAGGAGCGTTGTCACAGGCCAAAAGTGTTTGGCATGTGAACATGGTGAACAGCTTGAACATCATACCACTGAAAGAACACCAAGTTGAATAGGCAAGGCAAAGGCTAGCAGATTGTGAGAAGAAACAGACTAAACAAGGAAAGCTGATCAACTAAAAAGGAAAGCGGAGCGTGGGAAATTGCCATCTTAGGCAACTTTGATCAGGTGACTTTCCTAATGGGAACAGAAGCCCAGAATCAGGTCCTAGGCCAGTGCAGAATCCAGCTAGGCCAGCTGTGAGCCAATCTAGTGGTAATCCAGGCGAGGTGTAGGCCAAACCAGTTAGTAACTAGGCCAGGTGTGGGCCAAACCTAGAAAAACCCAGGTCAAGTGCAGGCCAATCCAGTAACACCTAGGCCCAGCCTAGGCCAATCCGGCAATTGCCCAGTTTCAACCCAGAATGAGAGAGAAATGCTATTGGCTCATAAAGCCTGCCTTACCAAGCGAGCATGAATTGCTATTGGAGGAGAGAAT